GGGGGGGCGGGGGGGAAGAGGGGATTTCCCCAGTATTTTTAACTCAACAATGGGGATTTCTTTTTACACTGCACTGCTTAGACAGCTGATGTTGTTATGGCTTAGAGACTTGAGTCTAAAGCTGGACTGAGTAGCTCAGAATGTAATCTCTGATTAAAACCTGAAGTGGGGACATCACAGACAAAATTACACCCTTGGTCAGTCAGGAGATGTCTTCATCCATTTCATCATCAGCCCCAGCACTGACTGGAGGTGCTACTGTCCCTTCTACAAAATTTCATATACACCTCTTCAGGCATTTTTCCCTCCTGTTAGAGGATTTTAGACAAATGGACCATGTGCCTGCTCAGCCTCAAACCTGAGTGCTATTTTACATCAGGATGCAGAGCAAGGAGGTGCTGGCACAGACTCCTGCTGCGAGCTGGGAAGATAAAAACGAGCTGGTGTAGTTCAGGATGGCACTTGAGCAGTGTGGGAAGGGGGTCTATGCCATTGGATCCAGTAATAGCAGAGAAACAGGTTCAGTATGAAGGTGAGTCCATGTTGGCCTGTATGCCTAAGAATCACGCTTCTACAAAAGAACCGCTTTAATGTGCCGTTATCATTCTCCATGGGTTGCTTTACTGTCCACTAGCCCAGTTACCCATGCAAAATGTCCCCTCCTTTCCAGCGGCCTGTTTCACTAACGCTTTACCTTGGGATGGATTTACACTTTGTCCATCCTGTTCCTTTTCTGGCTTTGCAGCCCTCTGGAGTAACTGTTCTCCCGCCTCATGAAAGAACAGTCCCAACGGGTTCAATGCTGAAGTCACATTTACGTCCTGAATAGAAAAACTGTCCACCTAGCCTTCCCTCCAGAGAAGGCCTTTCCAGCCTGTGGGTTTCCTCCCAGCACATCCTAGGCAGAGCAATGGTGGTACTGGCTTTGGAGGTCCCTCAGGGAAAGGTAGGCACCAGTGTTTGGGACCTGGCTAGAGAAGGCTGTTCTGCACGTATCCTCATCCTGGCTTTGCCTGACAGGTGGAGGCTGACAGAAAGAAGAGTTAGCATGTGCTGCTGGTGTACAGGGCTCAATCGGAGGGCCTGCCTTCCCACTCCTCTCCGTTACATCCATAGTGTTGCTGTCACGCAGGTCCGGTGGGTCAGGAAGTTCCGTGTCCAGCTGGCATAGCGGCTCAGCAAGCGGTAAAGCTGCTTTGTCCATCACCTTTTCATCCTGTTTCAGACCTGGTGTTGGTGAGGTGCCTTCACTTGCCCGGAAAGCCCCAGAAATAGCCATGGTCTGCTGGACTTCACCTTCTGTCTCTACCGTGAAGGACTTGTTTTGGAATCCCTGGGTCGCCTTAATACAATGAAGGAAGTTGTGGGACAACACGGGCATGTCCTCTGCCAGTGTGCAGAGGTCTGGGGAAGGGAGAGCGTGGTAAGACTCGCCATCCTCACTGCCACTGCCCTCTTGGGTGAAAGGCTCGTAGGTGAAGTAGACCTGACAGGGCTCGATCTCAAAGGAGTTAGGAAGGTGGAAGAAGAAGTAGCCTTGGTTGGTGAAGCAGCTGGATACAGAGTGCCCACTGGTTTCTAAGGGAGGATCAGGAGTCAGGGTTCCCTTGGAGAGTAGAAATTGTGATTCCTGGTCATTCTTCTGCATCACCTCGAGCATGGAGATCTCTGGGGTTGTGGTGTTCACACAGTAAGAGGATGTGGAGAATGGGGAGGAGAGCCATTTCTGATGGGGAAGAAAACACAGGAGAGAGACTGTTATGCCCCAAGTATAACACTCAGTGAGGAACCAAAGGTTTCTTCTCCTGAGCACCCATGACAACCAAATGACCTGTTCACTGTCTGAGCAAGAGTTACCAGTGGTGATGGGGAGGGAAATTTACATTCATGATGTCTTATCTGCAGGATTTTCAGAGAGACTATATCTTTCTGTCACTCTGAAATCAAGAGCGGATCTTGCAAGTCTATGTTTTGAGATTTCTGGAGGGAAGAACAGAATATGGAAGATTAAAGTGAAAGTAAGAAAAAAATTGCAAGACCGTAAGATGAAGTGAAGGTGGAAACATGAAAAGCAGTACTGAGATGCGTCTGTTCCTGTGCATTCCAGATGCAATCTATTCCTAGGTGCTGAACCAGTTTCTGATACATCTACATGGCCCTATGCAGATTTCTTGTCTAAATTGCTCTTTCAGGCCCCTTGTGCCTAAATTTCCTCCCTCATCCTAAGTGATGTCCTGCAGTACATCATTATCCTTAAAAATAAACTGGTTTTGATAACATCCAACTTCATAACCTTATGGCTGGTAAAACAAATTTTTCTAGTTCTTTCTGTATTGAGAAAGCATCTTCATTGCCTACTGCACACCCTGCCCCCCCCTGTCTGCACTACTCCCCTGTAGTTCAGGCTTTCTAAGGCTTTTTGCACTTAGGATTTTCCAAAGCTCTGCCATCCTCTGGACCTTCTGCAGTTTGTTTCCATCCTCCTTAAAGTGAGATGCTCCTTGGGATCACCTCCCACGTCTTGCATCTGACACTCCCTTTAATGCTGTGCAGAATGGTAATTGTCTCCTTGCAGCTGCCCCTACTCACAGAGAGATTAGGGGAAGGGAGAAAGTGGGGGTGGAGAAAGAAGGGAAAACTTAGCAGAAAACAGCTAAGTGCCATTCAGCATGATGGCAATTTGTATTAGGAGCAGAAAAAAGGCTCACAGCCAGGAGGAGGGGATCACAGCAGGAAATCTGGGCAAGAGCTGAGCAGCCTAGGGCAGGCAGGGAGGGACCGAAGTGGGGTGGAAGGGGATCTGAGAGGCCAAGATCCCTCACGCAGGTCCCTTGTTTTCCCTCAGGCTCTGAGCAGGGTGCTATGGTTTGTGTGGTTTGCCGTTTCTCGGTTCCGTAATTAGAGATGCTTCAGCTGAGTGTCAGGTTTTAGAAGGTCAGAAAATAAAGCTCGAGTGAAGAACCCAGCAGCTGGTGCTACAGGCACATGTCGTGTGCACATGTAGGTCTGACAACTGGCTGGCTGTGCCGGGCATGTGCAGCTGGACCCTCCTCTCCCTCATTTCCCCCTCCTAACTCCATGGCTTCATCCCCAGTCTCATACCTGAATGTCACCTCCGTGAACCGAAACGAGTGGGGGAAAGAACTTCTCAGGGTCTGGGATGTGAATCTTCAGGATCTTCTTAAACCTTGAGAAAAGAGAATGAGGAGGAGGAATGAAGCAAGGCCTGATTCTGATCGATCTGGCACTGTGGTGGGGGTAGGGGAGAGCATCGCAGTTCGCGAGTACTACCCTGGCATGGGGGAGAGGTAAAATAGGAAGAAGCATGAGGCCTCCCCTTGCTCTTGAGTGGCTTGAAATGCAGTAGCTGAGGGATAGGAAGTATAGAGATGAAGCAGTTAAGCCTGGCTTTGGAAAATACACTGCCCTCAGCCTTTTCTCAGGAGAAGCACAACAAACTTCACCAGTTTCTTCCCTGCCTTGGCTGGTCACCTTAACCTCTCCACCTGTCCCCTTAAGGCCTGTCCTGATGACAAACCAGACAGGTCTGCCTTGTTTCCAAGCCCTGGCTGCTGTGAGCTGCCCCCTCTTGGCTTTGCTACCACCACAATCATAGAATCATAGAATGGTTTGGGTTGGAAGGGACCTTAAAGACCATCCAGTTCCAACCCCCCTGCCATGGGCAGGGACACCTTCCACCAGACCAAGTTGCTCAAAGCCACATCCAGCCTGGCCTTGAACACTTCCAGGGATGGGGCATCCACAGCTTCTCTGGGCATGGCCCGAGCGGGACCATGGCTGGCAAAGCTGTGCCACAGCTCCCTGCCCTGTTAGCAGGACACTGCATGGTATAGCTAGGACACACTGGCTGTGCAAGCCATCTGAATATGCCTTGCATCACTCCAGAGGCCTTTTCTGGAACCAGGGTGTTGTCATCCTGAGGCAGCATGAAGTGATCTAATCTGCTCCTGAGTCCTTCACAGAGGTTGGCTGATCCTGTCAGCTCTTTGCTGAAGCTTTGCTGTGGGATGCTCTAAGGAAAGACTCTCCTGACCTCTGAAGGCAATCAGTGTACTCTCTGAAGCATCAGAATTTGCTAGTTCTTGCATACAAACTACCTTACATCACTGCAGATGCTATTTTTATTCATGCATGTCTAATCCTTCCTTGGATCTTACCTCAGCATTATCCTCCATCCAATTCCCCCAGGTTAATTATACTCTGTAGAGAAAGGAGGCCTTTTTATCTCTCTCTACGCCATATAGCTAGCACTTCTTCACCCTTGTGTTATGATTCAAGCTAAAACACAGTGGCCAATGACTTTCTCAGTATCCATCTTACTTCAGTATGCTTCTCCTTTCCTTACAGAGCAGCCATCCAGCCTCTGCTGCCTCAACCCTGAGAATAATTCTCCCTGCTCCCTGCCATAGAATCATAGAATGGTTTGGGTTGGAAGGTACCTTAGAGATCATCTAGTTCCAACCCCCTGCCATGGGCAGGGACACTGTTCACTAGACCAGGTTGCTCAGCACCCTGCTTCTTTGCCCCTGTCCTGAGATGAGAAAACGTGTCACCATTTCTAACCTGACCGTGCTGACAGGGCACTCTCTGTATTATTGCACAGGGTAAATTTGTGAGACACTTTCAGTCCTGAATAAAAGCAGTGTCTGGGTAGAAACGCTGGCAAAGAGATCTTTAAAGCATCATGCAAATGTTTACCAGAGTGTGATGAGACCAGGACTGCACAGACCAGGGAGAGGAAGAATTGTAGTCCTCACTCAAGAGTTTTGCCTGCAGACCAAATGTCACCTCACTCTGCTTGAGCTCTTTCTGGAGCATTAAAATGAGAAGCAGTACCTAGCCTTGCTTTGTCCTCTCTACTGGGGGAGTTTTCAACCCAGTGGCCTGCTTTTTAAGGTGCAGTTTTGGTGCACCCCTGTCAGAGAACATCTCTCTAACCCCTGGGCAGCAGAAGTGCTGAGTTGGCTGGTGTTAATTCAGACAGGGCATGGCACCAGGTCACAGGAGCATGGCACAATGCACTGATGGTGGTGAAACCACATCACCTTGGGTGGTGATATATCTCCCCAGACAAATGTCAGCCTCATAAGGTTGGGCTATAAGCCATATTTTTAAGCTGCTCTCTATCCTGAGTAACGCCAAGTGAAAAACATCTCAGGTTTTGAAAAGACACACAAGATATAGGAAAGGAACAGAGAAGAAAACTTGATGCTTGTTTACCATTTCAGGGTCCGTAAGTTAATAAGGAAGGCAGTCCCAATGATCACGAAGATGCAAGTGCTCACTATAAGAGCTGGCAGGACTGGACGGGATGTTTCTGCAAGATGAGAGAATGAGGGAGTTGCTGTGAAAATTTAGCCAGGATTCTGGAGGGAGGAGCTGCAGCCCATCCATGACAGTTCAAGGTGATCAAAGTAAGCCTTTATTATAATTTTATAATTAATTTTATATAATAATTCTATCTATATATATACATATATAATATTATATGAAGTTATACAGGTCAGCTAAATGAGTTCTGCTGTGTTTTGTAGGGTGCCTTTGAGCTGATACCGGTTTCAGAGTCTACTTGGCATTGCTTAATAGATAATTTGTGCTGAACAGCTTGAACTCCCTGTTCATAACAGCTGGGGTTTGCCGTAGATGAGATACCACAGTCTACTGCTTGAAGTGTCCATCCATCTGTCTGTCTCATTGCAAAGGAAAGCAGGGAGTTCTAAAATCAGCTTAAGTGGGATTGGAGACTTGAAACAGCATTATGAGTCAATAGGGAAGACAGAGTCATGGGGTTCATGGGTCTTTGAGAAGGCAGGAGGACCAAGAATGGAGAAGTTTAAGAGTCAAGGGGCTGTCCTCTTTCTTTGGAGAGGTGTAGGAAAGCTTTAGGAGGCTAGGAAGCTTACAGCTTTCCACCACATTTCAGTACTTGGATTGTAGGGCTACGAGAAAGAGACCAAGTTCCTACATTGCCAGTGTTGCCAGCGCTCTTCAGGCTTGTCTGGCATCATCTCAAACTTTTCTCAATCTGTCTCTTTCACATACATCTCCCCAGTGCACTTTTGCGTGGTCTTGCTATCCTGGTGCCCGTCCCTCTGCCTGCCCCCTCATCTCCCTTCAACCTAGTGTCCCCTGGTCTGGGCCTGCAGAGCATCTCTGGAGTAGTTGTGAGGGAGCAGCAAAAAATCAAAGAAGGAGGAGGCATTTTTAGGACATTCTTTCTTTGCCTGCCCTTGAGATGCTACTTAGATCACTTTGTCTCCTCTGCCTCTGGTACCCTGGTTATCTTTGGGTCTTGGTTGCTATGACAACTGGTTGCGGCTGTATCCTATTCATTGACATCACACACTGTCAAAATTTGATCGCCACAGCAACACAGTGCCCTTTCTAAACATAGCTCCTCTGTTTATACCAGCACCAGGCACAACAGAGGGGCTGAGCAGGGGCAGAGCGGGGGCGACATGAGAAGGAATAACCTCTATCTGCTAATTTTTCAGAAAAGGAATGACAGAGAGCACAGCCAATGACTCACTGAAGAAACTTGCTCAGGGCACTGTCTTTCACGGCTGGAGGTGTCCTCGATGCCGTGGTTCACGACAACGAGTGATTCAAGTCTCAGCAGACCTTTTTGGAAAGAACTTAACATGTCTGTAGGTCTCTTCCATTCTCCATGAGACTTTGCTTCCTAGGCTCAGGTGCCCTTTGGTTCAGGAGCTGTGCACTCTGTTTCACTGCATGTCACTGATCAATGGCTCCAATGAACTGGGACATTTTAGACAGCTGGATTTATGTTTCTAGATCACATTAGCACCTGAGAAAATGCAAGTCCTGGCCACTGCTTCTGCAGGGCAGACATCTGGCCTTACTGCCCTAGGGGAGCAGTCCTTGATTTCCATCCTGTGGATTTTTCCTGGCTTCTAGAAGTCAGAGGGGCTCTGTTGGTGTCAGAGGGTCTTTGCCCTTAAGCCCTGTCGAGCCAGCCTGACCTAACAGATTAGGAAGGACAGATCATTTCCAACCTTTTCTATTGCTCTTCGGTCAACACAATCCGCTATGCTCATGTTCCTCCAGCATCTCAGCCTGCTTTAGCCCTTCTACCTTGTTTTCCCTGAGTCCCCGTTTTCCCCTCCAAGTCAGACTGCCTGACTCCGATCCTTACGGTCAGCATGTGTCCTCCACAGTATCGTCTCGCTCCAGTCGCTCCAGACGCCTTTGCAGATACTTGAGGTGCTTGGTCTTGCACGGACAGATGCCTCATATTTCAAGTCAGGTAAGAGGTTCTCAAACACCACCCACATCTTGTCATACTCAATGGTGAGGTTGTTGGCATCCTTGGAATAGGGAAAAATTAAAGCATCATCAACACCTTGGCTTACAGACTCACGTAGCCACTTCTTCCAAGGCCCCCAGAGAGGACCTGTCTCAGAGGACCTCATGCACTACTTGTTCACCCTGGGGGAAAATTCTTCTTTGCTTTGCTTTTTTTATCCCTTTCAGGTCTGTCCTGGAGCTGTCTGGGCTTCTTTGTGACAACACTAAGCAAAATAGGATTTCTGTTTGCCTCCATGTCATCACCAAACACTGGCAGTGGGTGACACAGATAAAAGGGTATGGGGGTGTGATCTGGTCTCCAGATTCACCAAAACTGGGTTTGTCCTGATGGGTGTCCCAGGAGCAAGTCCTGGGTCATGTAAAGAAGACCAGGATTCGTATGAGGACAGGTCCCAGTGACCCACTTTGTACTCACCTCCCAGGACTGACTTGTGGTTCGGTACCGCACTTCGTATTTCCGCTCCCCATCCAAATAGTGAGAGGAAATGTTCAGGCTCCATGTTAAGTTGTACTTGTTTTTAGTTTCACTAACCATCTGAAGATTTCCCGGAGGCCGCAGCTTTACTGGAAAGAGAGAAAGAGCAGGGCTGATACCTCCGCACCGTCTGTCCATAGCAGGGCTCCGCCACAAACCCCCTGCAGCAGGGTCAGCGTCCTGGCTGTGCTCACAGGCTCCAGCCAGCCATGGCCACGTGAGATGGTGGGTGGGTTCCACCTCTCTGTTCCTCCTTCTTCCCCCCTGTCCCTGACTGCAAACGGCCTGTTGTCTCTGGACTACGTTAAAGGCAGCCCCTGCTGTGAGAGTGGGCCCTGCAGTCAGTGCACTCGGTCCCACATGGCCGAGCATCTGACCCTGATGGCGTGACTCACAAGGCAGTTGTATGGACAGGAATGGAAGAGGGCTGGGGAGACAGCTGCTTCCCAGCTGCTTTGTCAGGGGATGGAGTTACACAGGCTGCCTAGGCTGATCCTTCCCAATCCCTGATTCCAACCATGCCTTCTTATGCCTCACCTTGCAGCAGCTCTATTGGACATCTCCTTGAGCCAGGTAATGTCAGACATCCAGCAGAAAATTTACCCAAGCAGGTGTTTTTCTGCTGGATTAGTGAGTTGAATCTTTTCAGCAGACTGCTGCATGCCAAAGCTGGCTCAGAGGAGGGCAGAAGCACATGTCTGGCAGGAGGGACAGGGGAAAAGCCTCAAGACTTTCCCTCCTTCATGCAGCATGCCTTTTTCAGGAGGTTGGCTGAGCTGTCATTGCCTGTTTGAAGCCAGAAATCCTAGTGCAAAGCACTCTCATTTAAGTGTCCCAGATCCAGGACAGGACAGGAGGTGGCTGGCATGACACTGCACGTTAGAGGTGCAAGTGGCAGGAGTCAATGTGGTTCATCTGTGCTGGTTGTAGCAGGGGACAAGGAAAAGACACAACTCTAAAATCAGCTACAGGTGTTGCATGGGGTGGATAGGGAAGAGAAATTAGCAATCCTACTGTGGGGAAGCTTCAGAGACTGCAAGACAGATGAGTACTCACTATTTCTAAGTGGACTGAAATCTTCTATTTGCACAGGTATAGTCTTATTCTCTCCAATCTGGCAATGGACAGACACGGTAAGACGGTCTGCAGTGGTGAAGCACTGAGTCTGCAAGGAAAATTTACCATTAGTGACGCTGCAGCCTGATCGATAAGCATTCATATTTCTAAGCATTGCCTATGTATAAGAGGTTAAGGAATACTTGACAATAAATATGAATGATCTTTATGTCTGAAAAACATAAACCTCAGTGGTGAGTGAGGAACAAAAGATTTATTCTTCATGTGGTTGGATTTCTTTTCCTTGGTGAGAAGGGCACAAAATACTGTGATATGCTAGTTTACTAGGATTGCTGTATGTGCTGACTAAGCAGGAAAAGGTTACTTTCTATGGGTGACATTTATTGAGAAAAAAATATTTTTTGCTTAAACATTTTGTGTTCATCAGTAAGATTGACATTAGTATTAAATATTAATCCTGAAATGCAATGATACTAAAGGGCCACATACAGCATACACTATTAAATAAGCAATAGGGAAATTAGCTTGATTAGAAAGAAAAGATTTTGGAGCAACCCTGCAATTTGTCTTTGCACATGATGTGCAAATGGAAGAAAGCTTGTCTCTCATCAGAACTGGTTGTGACTTTATCAGTATGGAGAATTAGCTCATATTTGGGTGGATTTTTAATGAAAACACAAGGATATGCCTGAAAGAAGTACATGATGAGTCTAAAAACCAGACTGATTTAAATGAAGAGTAACAGCTAGAGGATTTGCAGCACCATTAGCTCCAGTGATGTGCTGCTTTGCATCTTGTATTTGATGCATCTAACCAGACTTCGCAGTAGCTAATGATCTGGAAAATGGTACTGACCTCTTCAAGGAAAATGAGGTCAAGAGGTAACCTCAGAGATGGTGGTGATGTCCATCCCTCCTCAGAGGAAAGGATTAGGACCAAACCCAGGTAACTGAGACATGGGACACTGCATGTAATCTGTCTGTCCTGCACCTGTTCTGCCTGTGTCAGGACAGCACGACCAGCTCACAGTGAAGCCAATCACTCCTGCAAGGGAACCTGCAGGGTTGACACTTATTCACAACACACAGCATCAAGGCCAACACCAGAACTGGAGTCAGGGGTTAGCTTTGACCTTTTATACTGCTCCTGGGCATCACACTGATTATACACCCAAAATCCACATACAAATCCTTGATACCTTGTTATTAGCCAGGATACCCCAGATGAATTACTCACATTACTGTTTTTGCTGAAGGCCTTGATGCATCTCCTCAGTCCTGTCATGTGTTCTGCCCTGGGTAATTCACAGTACTCCTTTAATTTTTCAGATAACCTAGGTTTTAAGCAGGATAATGCCAGTGAACTGGGGAAGCTGTTTTGTATTTAGTCAAATTTTATGTAACGCTAAAGGCCTTTCAAAGCATTTTGCATCCTACTGTATTTGCTGAACAGGTTACAGCAAGGATGTAATCTCACTTTCTCTCCTCACTGCATCATTCGGACAAATTTTATGTGCTGGCACAAGGAGATTCAATGCATCCCAGTTATTTCAAACCAAAGGTAACAGCAGGTTTCCAGTTTCCAAGTCTTCACAAAACCTTATTGTTACCTTCTCTGCTTTATGTTGATATGTGAGGGCACGCAGAGCCCAAACGCATCTGCTGCCTAGAACTGCACCAACGTGGCCCTGGAAGACAGGTGCCCCTCTAGGATTTTCAGCCCCTCTAGGGTTTACAGGTCTCCTTCAAGCCACTCTCAATCCTGCAGGATCTCAGAGACTGAGTGAGATGTATCCTCTGAACCAGGTCACATCCCAGTCAACCAGAACTATACATCACACTTGGCAGTGCTATGCCATGACTTCTCTTCTGCTCTGGCACATGTGGCTGAACAGCCTAAGCTGAGCTATGGCACAGGGGGTGACAGGGTGGGAAACCATCTGTGGGGTTGCGGTTCAGGGGGTATCGGACTGAGTTGCCTGCTCCAGCTGTAAGGTCAAATCAAGCCTGGACTTGCTGATCATGGGGAGAGGTGGTGTCTTAAGAGACCTGGTCAAGTAATGGCACTGTCCCAAATCCAGCCCAAATTCCAGCCCCAATCTCTGTGATTCACACCCATGAATGTTTTGGCTTTCTAGGTCCATGCACCAGTACCCAGAATATATTTGTCCATCTCACCCCATTGAGACTTCTCTGTGACAGTCATGAGTAACCCACTCACTGCCAGAATGACACTGAGCCTCTCCTTATGACAGGCACCCAGGGAAGCCTCAAGGTGGGCTGGTAAGTCTCTTGACTCGAGATGTCACACTTGAAGACCACAGACACTCGGCTACCCCTCACTGGCCACACACCTCCCTTCTGCCAGGAGATGTGTGGGAGAAGAAAACATCAGAAACCGAGAGAGATGAAAGGACCAGGGGAGATAAGGCAAACAATATTTCCCTTAATTTATTGTTACTCAGGGCGCAGCATCCCAGCTTATCCTGGCAATGGGCAAATGGCCCCTGTATAACTTTAATTCCACACTCCTCCACCCCCATCTCTATACATCTTCCTTTTCCATCAAAAATGCCTTAAAGTCCAGAGTGTGGCTACGAAGAAAGCGGGATTTTTTGGAAAACAAAGCACAGATGCACCTATGGAGCTGGAAGATGGACTGTGCTAGACCGTTTGGGGCCATCAGGTGACAAATGCTGAGCAGCAGCCAGCATCTCAGCCCACAGGGGGTTAAAGCCAGAGCTCAAGACTAAGCCCCTCGTCTCTCTGACTCCACGACACCTGGTCTGGGGAGGGGGACCCTACATTTCTGTGAAGTGGTAAGCTTTCCAGGACATTTAAATTCAAAGTACTGGCTTTCGTCAGCCTCTCCAGTCACCTACCTGTCACAAAATCCTAAATTCGATAAAATCTCCAGCTGGCATGGTGATTCAGCCAGGTCCCTGCCTGGGTTCCAGTCGCAGAATAGAGCTGCCCGCGAGTCATACCAACAAGTTAGGCTGGAGGTGCCTGCCAGCAGAGAAGAGACGGGCAGAAACGTGGCTGAGTTAGCAATGATGTTTGGCATTAACCATCACCCTGGACAATTCTGCCCCATTCCAAAATACAGACGGACTACTCTGCTGGACAATTGTCTCCAAGTAAGAAAGGCAAAGCTCCTCTATGTCCTTGGAGGTTGATGTGCTCATAAGAGACTAGTAACTATTTCATCCTCCTCTGGCTGTATATTACAACACGAGCATTGCACAGCAACACACCGAGGCGCGCACACACTGCCGGCCCCCCCTCCCTGCTTGCCCAGCTGTCACGGGTGAAGATAATGACTTCTTACCTTGTCCTGAGTCTGATGCCCATGAGAGAGGCATGAAGCTGAACAGCCAGAGGTGACACAGAAGCGGCAAAGAAGGCTTCATCTGTACTGGTGACACACTGAAAGAGAGAAGACGCCCCCCCAACATAGCTCAGCAATGCAAATTAGGAAGATGTCATCTCACGAGAGGCATCCACTGTCCCAGGGCAGGGATGAAAGCCCGTGCCAATCTTCTGGGCTCAGAAACTCATACCCTTTCCACTCTGGAGTCTGTGCTTTTCCCTCAGCACCTCATTGTTTTCCTGCTTTGAGTGCTTTGCTCAGCACTGAAAGTGTTCGCAGTGCAACACAGACAAGTTGTTTGCAGTAGTGCCTTCTGGAAATGTGTGTGCGAGCACATCGCGGTCCGCGTGTATTGTTTCGGGCTGCTTGCTGACTCAGGTAGAGAGTACTGCCTTGGTTGTGCATAGCAAGAGCTGCTTTTTTTTGTAAGCCTTAGGGCTGAAATAACTAGGTGCTTGCTAAGTAAGAGGGGTCTCTGGCTGCAACTGACAAAGATTTAGTTGAAGAGCTCATGGTCTAGGAGGTAGATTTGGAATGGCTTCTTTGGGAAGGGGAGGAAATCAGGGAAAAGAAGGAGTTTGCCAGGTTCTGAAAAGTCAAGGTTTTCCATACCAAAAAATATTACAGTCACACACAGACCATACACTATCCTGGCCGAGTAGACCCTGCACTGACTTGGAAGGAGCCATGCTTTTAGGTGTGGCAGAAAATTTGGGCTTTGTAATTAGGAAACTCTGCAGCACCCCTCACCTGCCCGTTGCACCCAGAGAGAATCCTTGACTTACGAAGCCTGTACAGCCATGCTCCATATTAGACAGACAGGGTTTATGGGCTTCTCATCCAAGCCTCCCCCTCTCCCCATCCACCTGGACACCGAGATCTACCTCTGCCCAGGGTAAAAGCGACCACCCTCACTTCCCAGCAAGCCTGGAGCCCAGGCAGAGCTGAGCAAAACAAGACAGAGTCCCGTTGGATGGAGTCTGCTGGGACTGCCAGGCGAGCGGGAAGAGAGGGTTGATAAAGGGCTGGCATGAGGCTTCATGTTGATTCCCGTTGTGATAAAAGATTAGGTTCAGAGGAAGAAAAACATGACGACAACGCATTAACAGACAAAGGGGAGAGAGAGAGAAAGAAAGCAGGCGGCGTGGTTGTGAGATGTGGGGTATGATTTGAGAGGACTGTGGAGAGACAGAGAGATAAATACATGCTCAGCCCTCCCCAACGGCGAGATTCAGTTTGTCAGATCGAAAGTCCTTCCAAGACGTTTTTCAGATCAGCCACCCCTGTGTGGGAGAGAGCTGGCATCACCCCATTTACCTTCCAGCTCCCGGCACCCGCTGGTCCAGATGAAGGCAGTCCCCAGGGACTGGATCGCAGGGTTGGATGGAAGCAGGTATTGGACGTCAAACTGTGAGGGGAAGAGGGAGTGAGGAAAAGGAGAGGGATGGACGGAGATATCCTAGATCACTGCATGTCCAGGTGTCAGCCAGAGCCACTGGCATGAACGGAGATGTGCCTCCAGCCCGGCAGCTCTGCTGTGGAGCCGTACCTCTCATATGTGCACAGTCTCTCTCTGTCTTTTCCCTCTCACCTTTGCACAGGAAGCTGCTGCTTGCTTGCCTTGTCAGACTGAGACGAGGCCCTGAAGTATCGAAAAGGCTAGCAAGGCCGAGAATAAAAAGCCCCAAACCACGTCCTACTTCCTGCTGGTAAAGCAATAGGTGCAGAAACAAGGGTGGAGGGATCAGGTGTTAGCTTGCAGTGCTCAGATATACTGGGACCAGTTTGTAACTATTGCTGGGAAGCAAAAGAGAGAGAGAGGACCTGTCCTCTTGGGACACCAGCAAGAGACCCATAGCTACCTCTTTCAGACAACTGAACAGATTACTTATATTGCTCTCAGGGTGTGCAGGCATGCACAGATCACTCTGAATCCAGGGATAGGAGTCAATCTGCAGCAGAAATACGCTGGACCACTTTGTGAAAAATACCTCGAGTCATTGACCTCAGTAACACCAGAGCGAAACCAGCCTCCCCACTAGTGCCCCAGTTTCAGGGGATTCATCCTGGGTCAGAGCGGGAGAGGAATGAGGTCAGTGCTGAGCGTGAGCAAGCTTGAGGCACAACCCTCACACTTGCAGATGGTGCGACACCACAAAGAACACCCATCCCGCAGCCTCCCCTCCCAGCCAAGCACCCTACTCGCTCCACAGAAAGGAGGAATCATCCCGCAGCTAGTCCGGACACCCAACACGGTAGCTGCAGTGCCTGTTGGGCATGGTTTCTCTGTTCAACAGGCCAGAAAGGCATGCAGAAAGCATGCCCGCTTTCTTCCAAAGCTTCATGTGCGAGACATGTGACCCCTCCCAGGCCCTGCAAGGCACGTTCACTTTTAGGAGGGTCTTTCACCACAGGCAGATGTCTTCCCCAGTACACCTCACTTCACCTTGCAAAGCAGGAGAGACGCACAAATGCCAATCCACAGCCCCATGGTTGCCCGCTTCCCAGATAGGCATGCACAGGCATACGTGTCCCGGTGCACCTCTCTTTTTCCATACACAGATACGGTTCTCTGAAGTGCAGCACATCACGTTTCCTGTCTCGTCTGGGCTGCACGAAGATGGCCGCTGGTGTGGGGCCAGATAATGAGAATCTCCTTTTATACACACATTGGTCACCGCGCTCTGCAATCCTCACCTTTCTCTCCTACATCAGCTCAAGGCCCAAGCTTCAGGTCCAGCAAGCAGGTTTGGCTGGCCAGAAGTGGCCAGAGGCTAATCTCAAGTCTCCAGGCAGTTCCTTTTTGAAGGACTACATAAACTTGGAGGATGGGGCCTCCTTTAACAACAAAGGGTCTTGGTTTCAGGCAGTGGAAAAATGGTGTGGGAGGAGGACGAGTTTTTAGTCACAGACAGCCCAGCCCAGAGGATGGATCTCAGAAGACATTAGACCTCAGAAAGAAAGTGTGTTGGAGCAAACCAGTGATTTGAAAGGATGGGCAGAGCTGTTTTGAAGGAGGTTGGGATAGTTGATCATTGGTCATTTCTGGAAGGGGCTACAGTTCAGACTCTGCTCCAGCATCAAGCACTCACTCAGGCAACGGCCTGGAGCGCAACACCTCTTTCCTCACCATGTACCTTCTGTGAGGTCAAGTGGGGGATCTGACCAGCCATCCTTCATTGAGGAGGAGCAGGGGAGGGGATGGGCTGTGTGCTTTCCTGCTCTGGTAATCACTGACTGTAGTAGTTGTACCTTGGAGGATCCCACCAGCTGTAATGGGATGTATAATCAAGGCACAGCCTGCCTTTCCTGGGAACTCTTAAAATGAATGTGGCTTGCTCTGGTGCAGAAGTTCTCAGCTGGAGCGATGAAGTGCTCTGTAAGTAACTTCTTGCTCTCACCAGCTTTGCAGCTGCAATGCAGTATTCATATTAACCATCATTTTTCTAGTTTGCCCTTCAGACTGAGGCATCTGCGCCTTCCTTCAGACCACAGAGCACTTTGGGAAACTAAGAGCGCAAAGTACACATTTTTTATTGTTCAGCTTTTCAAAGAAAAAAAACCCAAACACTGATTCCTCCCATTCCCACCCCCCCACCCCCCCCCCTTT